TAGTGAGAAATTAGCCATATGCTTTGCTCTGCTTGTTTGTGAAGCAGAGTCAGTGATTAGGGTCGTGAAGAATCTAAGAGTGTGTTGGGATTGTCATACGTATATAAAAATTATATCTAAGTTAGAGAAGAGAGAGATAGTTGTAAGGGATAATAACAGGTTCCACCATTTCGTTAATGGAACATGTTCATGCAATGATTATTGGTAATTTTTTTAGACAATTTTTTTGCTGTAACATTATAAAACTTCTCACTTTCACCTGCAAAATGATTCGTCGACGACCAAATATAAAGCGAGGACTGAATCTTTATATACCTTACAACAATACTTTCTTTTTACCTGAGTTATATTAGCAACTGCAGATCATTTGATTAAAATGAATGACGATATTACTCATTCGAAACATAAACGTATGTTCTGTGGCTGATCTCTTAAAAGACCGATTCAGATTTGCTCCCGTCCGTTTATAAAGTGCAATTAAGAGAGCTATTTGCGGAATAATTAGGCATAAATTGATACCACAACCTCAGAATTTGGTAACTTTATCTTCATCAACAATCACTTATGAATCTTTTTCCAGATTACATCCATTATCTTAAGTTTTGGATCGAATTAATCCACTAACACATACTGTTCATGGGAGAAAATTTAAGTTATTAGGCCCTGGAGGATTAACGGGGCCTCTGCAAATGAGCCGGTGACTAGAGATTTAAGAACATGGTAGTTTGCTCAAGAAAAAGAAAACAAGATATATTTATTAACTCCAATTTGAAATATATATTTATAGTATGTTTGATCTTATCCTCAAATATGATCTTCCTGCAGAACCATCAACAGTAAATACATGTTATCATCCATGGTTCATCATTAACTGGGAACCAAATATAATACAATCATTATTAACATTGATAAAACTAAAGCTTCTGCTGAGATCTAAAAATAAAGATAAAAAAGAAGAAAACATTGAGGGCAAAATCCTCCATCCCTTGATGCAGGAATTGTAAAAGCTCAACGAATACAAAATCACTCTTTTCACCTGAAATATATGTATTTTTCTAGGACAAGCTCTAAACCATAACATTCTGTTACCAAGAGAAAAAAGAAGTCTATGACAATGGCAACCTCGTTTATTTCACAAGTCCCAAAATCCCTAACACTACCGTACTGCACAGTAGCATGTTGGAAACGAAAAGATACCGGTGCTCAAAGAACAGGATTAAAGAAGACAAGGCATCATCAGAACTTCATAGCTGCCAGCCTTGCAAAGGCTGTCGATCATCTCGCCACGAAGCTTGTGCATCACAGCCTTCCAATTTCAATCCATAACGTAAGAAACACAAAGCACCCAAGATTGGGGCTTCCCTCACTTCCCAAATGAAATATTTACCAAGGTTTGAGAAAGCCACAATACAAACCCCACAAGCTACCTACTCGACTCCCATACCAGAGCAGAAATTCATAAACATAAGACTTCATTAACATTATATAGAACTATATCTAGTTTCCATAAACTATTTAGAAACACAAATTCCCAAGAAAATTAAACAGAACAGTAACCAAGAGTAACAGAACTTAAAATCCCACAAGCAGTCATTTGAATTCATTAACTAAAATTGACGACGACTCTGTTTCACTTTCAAACTGTAATGAAAAAGTTCTAACCCTTGTCTGCTTTGTTCAGTTGGTGTCGGTCTCCATCTTCAGATCCTACCTTTAGACTCTAGCCCTCTTGCTACTGCAGCCTGGGCATTTGTACTGCTTGATATGCTCGGCCTTTGCAGGTGTTATCTTTACACATTTGCCATGGAACCATCTCTCACACACATCACAGCAAATCCAGAATTCATCAGTGGCATAGTTATCACCACATGCACCACATGTTGCACCTTGTTCGTCATCTTCTTCTTCTTCATCAGCACTCTCATCCTCCTCCTTGACTGGTGGAGACATCTTCACTGGCTTACCTTGGGGCTCAGATTGACGAGACTGCTTAATAAAAACACCCAAATAGCATGAGATCAGAACGTAACAAAAAAAGTTGTTTTTAAGTATATAGGGGATATGTAGCAAGGAATAACATAAAAATTTGTGTAATCAGGAAATCTTCAACCTTCCCACTTGATTTGCTTTTGGTACTATTGTTGTGATTAGCAGATTGGTCCTTTGGTTGTTTAACATTCCCTGTCACAACTTCAAAAATCGTAGGGAGTTCATTTATCATCTGGAATAGCCTCTTCCTGTAAAATTCAGTAACAACCAGAATTAGCACTTTAACCTCTAATCAATAAAAGCATACTTTCTGAGTGAGCTGAAGCCAGCCGACCACACTTCCTTCCCTGTTGACACGAGCACATTCCCATAAATTATATGGCATACCTACATCATTTATCACTAGAATGATAACCTACCAAGTTGATAAAATTGCCTTACTCATTAGTATTCATGAAATTCCAGTGATTATAATCAACATGATTTTTAGAAGTTTCATATAAGAACAATTTTGTGTTCTTTGGGAAGATCAGCTTCAGTACATCCCCTAAATAGTGTAATTGAATCTATGATCTATTATTAGCAAATCCAATAAGGATAGCATTATTAAGCAAACAAATAAAAACTTAAGTCTCCCAAACGAAGAGGTTTACCAAGACGCAATATACTATGCAGCAAGGGCATTGTAATATCAGTTCTCAAATGTAAAAAATGAAGTACCCAACACCAAGAGATCCTCTCACCGCCATCCAAACCCTTTTCCAATAACCCTTCTCCCCATCTCCCGCTCCCTTTTTCATCAAGCCCAAAGGGAAATGAAATAAAAAATTATAAATGCTCTCCAGAGTAGCCATAAGTAAACAACACAAGAAATACAATTTGTACCACTACCTGTGTTACAGGTCACTACACACATTCCCAGCAAGCATAAGACGGAGTGATACTAACATAGAGATATTTTCATACTGAAATAACAAGCATGGTTTGCTATAGCAACAAACCTGAAAAAAGCATCCAATTAATGATTAAAAGCATTTTAATGAGAGAAAAGAAACCTTTTTTTTTTGAAATAGAGACAAAAAACAACTTAGCTAAAATTTACAAATGTGGATGAGGGATTATCCAAACTACAATAAATTATTCTATCATCTTCACCATAATTCTATGACATTCAGCAAAGAAAACAGCTTTAAATTTAAAATAAATAGTTCACATTTATGAATACTTAAAAAGCAACTTGTGGGCAATTGTTTCCACCAACAAAATTTTGGTATTGCTCTAATCAGCTATATAGAAATACCATTAGTAACATGCAAAGAAAGGAATCAATACAAGACTTTCAAAGTGTTGAAGAAAAAGCAGATACTGAGTGCAACCTAACATTGACTACATGTCAATTCTACCAAGGAGAGAATGGCAGCGGCTAAATGAATTAGTTCTGTAAAGAGTTAGAAGGGGAAAGATTGCTTTACCTCTCATTCTTACCAAACCCAAAGCGAGCACCAAAATAAAATGAAACAGAAAGCAACCATGAATCACTGTGAACTGCAACCAATGATAACCAGTCTTTCTCTTGCATCCCGTCCCTTGCAAATTTATTCCTAATGCTGGCTTTGGAAGGTCAGGTGGTACCTCCTCAACCGGCAGGTTAACTTCCCATGTCTCATTTGGGAGCCCGTACAGACACAAGTTCTCTTTCTCTATATAGGGCAATCCAAAAAAAATATTCAGAAACTATATGTAATTCTACTACATTCTGAGCATAGCTAAACCTAAAAACAAGGAGAAGTGGAACATTTTCAATATCTTATATGCTGCTAAAAGGGCACAACCAGAAAGTAACATAAGCTTAGAACCCTTATTCCAACTGATTTAGACTCTTCAAGAATAAGTTCAACATGAAGCAACCACTGCAGTAAGTGATCAACTTTAATTTGATTACACTCGGATCTTAACTACTTTGGGCGTCTTTACAACTCCAGTCAGGAAAAGTAAGACAAGGTGAGACAAGGAAAGACAGTTGGTGATATATCTTAATAGAGTTTCATACGTGATTCCTAACCGATACAGAGTAGACTTCCAATATCATCTATTAGAAAATTGTAGACTCAGAAGATAAGAAATGAATGTGTTAACAGTTTAGCAGTCACAAATTAGATTGTGTCTTTTTCAGGACACAGAAACATGTCTTGAATGCAAACAGCAAGAGTAAATGCTTTTAATAATATAACAATTTACAGAATATTTAATACCAGTAAAGCTGCAATATATTAGTACCAAGCAATATAGCACACATCCTGTTAGCATAGAGGTAAATAGCTACCTATACCTCCGGTAAAATGGCCACACCCACAAAGCAAAGGCAGCATACATTCTGGAATAGATATAAACATGCACACAGATAGACAGAAAAGCAGAGTAAAACTACTGAATGATTTTTATAGCAATGAACATTCTAGTTTGATTATTAAATAGTAAAGTATTGCAATTTGTAGGAGTAGCTCAACTGTACCAGAGCATTCAAATATTAAACAGTTCATAAAATTGCATTATGTCACAATGCAACTTCAACATGAAAATGTGTTCATCAAATAAAAGAGCGATTGTGTTATATCAGGAAAGGAAAACTAAAAACTAAAAATTCTCAGGAAGGGAATGAGAATGATAGCTCTCAAAGGCTTAAGGTAATACAATAATCTAAAAGTAGAATGAATTGTTACGCTCTAGACACAAGCTAGGGTAGACATCCTAATGATCATAAAATGGCATATTTGGAAACAAACTAGGTAGACAACAAAATCTTAATCACAATAATTTTTTTACTCTTAAAAAGTTAATCACAAATAAGTGATAATAGATTTCAACAACTACTACTAACTACAAATTACAAGTTACTCTTCTCAGGTAGCCATTTAGACGTACAGAACTATGTATCCTTTTTCAATTCAATAACCTAGGTAGTGACATTCATAACACATTATACACTGGAACCCCAATGAGAGTCTAAGTTTGGAGGACGAAAAACAAGAGCTAAAAAAAGCTAGTATTAAAATATCATGTTGTGAATGAAAATGTATTAAGTTCCACACTCCAGACAGATTTTGTAAATAATAGCCACCATCCAGAAGGCACTGCTAGAAATCTGGAATTTTCCCAAATCAAGCAGCAGAATGGGGGCATGATAAAAATTGCAAAGATGAAAAACTCTTACCAAGCAATCAATAGATAAGAATGACTTTGTGAAGGCCCCCCCAAAAAGATAGTACTTTATCAATGACAAAACAGTTATTATAGAATTAAGCACTCCAAACACTTCGCTTTTATAGTCAATGAAATAAATGATGAGTTATGCAATCAAAGTGATAAATGCACATATAAATAATAACAGTGAAACATTTATAAGCTCCTGGAGAAAGCACGAAATCGTAAAAAACATTGACAATCATGAAATTTGTATTCTAAATAAAAAATTAAATGAGGATTCCAATTAAGTATTCTTTCTCCAAGAAAGGGGTCTGCGCCATCCGGCAGAATACAAGTTGAATGTTATGGGCGCAACATATTAAAATTTGAATGCCCTATTTCACCAAATAGCAGAACTAGCAGTTTAAAAAAATTGAACTGCTGCATGGTGCTTTCCCTGTCAGGCAGACTTGTGGATTGATTTCAGGGATGCAATAAACAAATAAAAGTACGTTGTTCGACAAATCCAGTTACCGTGTTCATTTAATTCTGCCCGTAACACTTGTAAGCTTTCTAGATGGCCTGCGGTTACTATCCGGAAACAATAAATGTTTGCATGTTTCTATCATCCACTATGACACTTGTAAGATTTCTAGATGATCATCGATTGCTATCAGAAAACCATAAAAGATCGTGCATTTCTATCAACCAAATCCAGTTTCCTTGTTCTTCCAGTTATCCCATATGACACTTGTAACTTCCCTAGATTGTTTAAAGTTCGGATAGAAACCAAATACAGTTTCATTTCACTTCAGTTGCATTACTCTTACCTTAAATTCAAATTTCCAGTGGGTCATTGCAACAGGCGCAACAACTGTACTACACATTTCCCAACTTCACTCAACTATTAGAGAGTAAGAAAGCAATAAAAATAGATAAAATATAGGAAAAAATGGATAAAAAAAAGGCGCAATAAGTGAGCCACTGAAAAAAAGAGTTGCAACCAACTGCCTGAAAACACCTCTTTCCTTCAGGGATTATATAAGTGAACCACTGAAAACAACCCAGCTCACCACTATAATTCAAAACCATACAGTCAACATGGTGTAAAAACCAGATAAAAATAAGCACCCAAAGGAAAACCCAGAAAATTCAGAGATAGAATATTAAAGCTAGAAAAAAAAAAAAGAAGAAAGACGAAGTATTATTCGAGTAAACCCACCAGGATCACACTGTTGGTAAAACTTCTCCACATCTGCAACGACCCAAAACAAAATTAAATTAATGAAACCCAGTAATTTTTTTCTGGTAGAGAAACAAAACCCGCTAATTACACACACGAATAAGTCCGCAGCCGAAGTAAGGTAGCAGATACATACGTGCGTATACATGCACAACCACATGCTAAAGAAATTCAAACACTGAACGAAAGAAAAAAAAAAAGGGTGAGGAGCAAGAAAACGAACCAGTTGTGAGAGCCTTGATCAAGCCAGCACGCCTGCCCTTGAAGTCGCTATAGACCTCGTCAACAGTTCGAGGCACAGGATGCGGTATTCCCTCCATTTCTTGCCCCTATCTCCCCTCTTCTCTTTTCACAGAGCCAAACCCAATAAATTCAACAACTGCACAAATACAGACGCGAAGCAAACAGAAGAAAAAAAAAATAAATAAAGAAGACACGAATGGAAGAGGAGGTATTTGGGTGTTGAATTGAATTGAGAGTAGGGGAAATATGTAATGGTAGAGAATGAGAATAAAGGCGTCAAATTTAGGGTTTTTGTTTTGTGGGGCGCCTAGGGCTTGTTCCCCTTCAGCCGATTTGGGATAGAATTGTGCTATCTGGGTTGAATTGAGTTGTGAAATCGACAGAAGAACTCCACAAAAAGGAGAGAAATGGAGAGAGGAGAAGAAAGGGTTACATGATATATGAGCATCAAAAGGACAAATTTGGAGGGGTGAGAGGGGAGAGAATGGAAGCAAATAAAAATAAATAAATAAATAAATAAATACATTAAAAATGGGTTTAATATTTTTTTTAATTTTAAAAAAAAATTTATGACAAAGATTGGATTAATCTTCAGATTGGATTTTGTTGGGTCCTATTTTTGGGTGATTTTGGTAAATCTCTAAAATTTTTGGGTAATTTTGGTAATTTTCTATAAATTTTGGGGCTTAATTTGGAATTTTGGAAAATACCCATTTGTTCTTTACAATGACACGTGTCAAATTGTAATTGGGTTTGGAGATTATAGAGGGAAAAGGAGAGGACCATTTTTTCTTATATCTATAGGTCTCTTTTTTTCTCTT